ATTTGGGGAAAGCGTTGGCGATGGGATGCAGGAATTGAAACAAACAACGATATTCAACATTAACGTTGCCATCAAATGCCAAAATAAGCTGACGTTTCAGGAAATTACCCTTATTTAGAATACAAATTACTATCAGTGCTGGGTAGCAAAGAAAAAAAAACCTGCAGAATTGAAGAGACTGCAGATGTAAGCTCTGTGGCATGTTTTACAACCACTCTGTCAGATAATTTGATGCTCTGCTGTGTTTAAGGAGTTTTGGGAGGAAGAAAAGACATGCCACGATGTACAGTAATGCAGCACACATGGGATGTAATTCAGCGGAATGAAAAAGAATATCAGAATGTCTACATCGGGATTGTGATTACGGGATTGTTGTTGTCATTTGCCGAGTGGTGCAGGTTACGGTTACGACAAACTACAAAAATACACAACGGAGCTTCAACACAGCTGAACATTTTGGGCTTTGAGTGCACTCACAATACGTGATCAAAATGTCAGTGTTCCTTACAGCACGTTGAGATGCCGTTATATTTATATACTCTACATATCTAAATTGAATTGCAGTTGTCTGCTGAATGGCTAAATAAAACCACTGTTGTCGATACACACTTGGCTTGCTCAATTGGGTTATTTTTTTGTTCATTATATTTGCATTCCACGATTATTGAGCAGAACAACACACGACATTACATGTAAAAAGAGGACAACCGAAACCTTGCATTATTAATAACGAAGAAACTGCTCGGGTTTTTTTGAACATCTCAAAGGTCTCATCTCAAAACAATCAAGGGTATTTCCCTGTCCCCAGACGACCTGCTTGTCAGTTTTGATGTAGTTTCCTTATTCACCAAGGTTCCTGTACCTGACACCATTGCAATCATTGAAGACTTGGTTCATCAAGGACTAAACACTGAGGTACCCCCCCTGGTGAGACACTGTTTAACCAATACATACTTCACTTGGAATGGAACTTTCTACAAACAAACTGAGGGCACCCCAATGGGCTCCCCCCTTTCTCCAGTTATAGCTAACATTTTCATGGAGAAATTTGAGACTGACGCCATCCAGACTGCCACTCTGCGCCCAACCTTATGGAAGAGGTACGTGGATGACACTTTTGTCATCTGGCCACATGGCCGGCCTGCTCTAGACAAATTCTTCGACCACATCAATTCCATACACCCAGCCATCAGATTTACCATGGAAGTCGAAATAGATGGCAAGATACCTTTTTTGGATGTCCTAATTAAAAAGAGACCTGATGGTTCAATGAGCCACTCTGTCTACAGGAAAGCTACCCATACGGATGCTTATCTGAAACCGGATTCCCACCACCATCCATCACAGAAGAATTCTCTCATCAAGACTCTGTATCATAGAGCCCAATGCATATCCGACCAGGAACACATAAGCAGTGAACTCAAGCACGTACACCAAGCTCTTAGGGCTAATGGTTACTCCGACTATACAATCCGCAAAGCTATCACTCAAACCATGAAGAAGAACCCTCTTGAGGAGCCTTTCAAAACCATCACTTTACCCTACATTGCTGGGATCACAAAAAAGATCTCCAAAATCTTGAATAAACACAAGATCCAGGTCCGTTTCAACACATTACATAAAATCCGTGATCTGGTTCCGTCTGTAAAAGATGTGATTCCGGACATACAATACCCTGGTGTCTACAAACTAAGTTGCCTCTGTGGTAGTAGTTACATTGGAGAAACCAAACGCCATATCTCGGACCGCATTCGTGAACATAAAGCAGACCTTAAACACGGTAGGACCAACACCTCGGCCGTAGCAGATCATTGTTCTAATTCAGTAGGCTCACATGCCATTGACTTTTCCAAGACGGAGGTTCTTTGTAAGCCATCTGGCTTCCATGAGAGATTCGTTCATGAGGCTATCCACATATACAAACACAGAGACAATTTCAACCGAGAAGATGGATTCTATCTTAGCAATCATTGGAAAGATTTGATAAATCATTTCAGTTCTTGATTGATTGTTCACGCTTACAGTGCCTTTCAGACAGCATACATAAAAACAAATTTCGTCTCCCCCCTCCTCTTTTCAAAAAAAAAAAAAAAATAGATGGACTAGTCCTGGCAAACTGCCATCGTTGCGCGTGACGCAAACGTTATTTTTATATATATAAATAAATATGCCGTTTTCAAAATAAATTTATGCAAACCGACACACCTGATGATGACCGTTTGAGTTATGGTCGAAACGTCGTGAGAATTTTTTATTGTTTTATATATATTTTGTTATTTTGTTGTTTCTCTTCAACGTGACTTTACCGAAAAAAACTAAGAATATGAATTACTGCAGTCACGAAAGCTTTAAATCAAAATTTAATCGCCTCTACGGGGAGGGTTTTCACATAACTTTAAGATCTTTCAACAAACTCCGGGATAAGAAAGCTCAGCTGATCGAGTCTCTCACCTTCCTGAAGAGATGCCGCGACTCTGGGGTAATACCAATCGCATTTACACTCACCTCTGCTACTGTAACTTCTTCTAATGCGAAACGAATTCTTTTCAAAACTAGCTTAGCTCTTATCTCAGAAAAAATCAGACTTATACGCACAGAACTAGATCAGTTAGACAAGACACTCTACAAATCACACTTATCATTGACGGCAATAATGTCCACATCGGATTGGGAACATGTAGACAATATGACTGCCTCTTCAGCTGCTACTATGTCGACCAAATGTAAGGAAAACCTGATTTCCAAATTTAACCTCCTCTTAAACAAAAGACCGGACCCACACACCAAAAAGTTAGACGTTAATAAAGTCGTAATTAATCGCAGTAACAGTTCTATTTCCGATGGTCTGAAATCCGTTTTAGCTAAAGGTCTAAACTTTGCAGTCACACCTAAACACATACCAGTTAATGATATAATTGCCCAAGTAGACGTTGCTCTCAGGGGCCTGGGTCACATCGCTGCAGACGTAGCAAGATCTTAAATCGCTGCAACCCTCAAAAACGCTAAGATGCCAGCTAGCAACCTCAGCAAAGATGAGCGTTTTGAATTATATAAATTAAAAAAGAGGAATGATATTGTAGTTCTCTCAGCTGACAAAGGCAATGCTACTGTTATCATGGATAAAATAGAATACAACAACAAAATTAAAGAATTACTCGACGATGGTAGTTATACAAAAATAAAAAGAGATCCCACCAACAGCCTCGTCACACAAACCAACAAAATAATTTCTGATTCAACCGCATTAATTGATCAATCTAAACAGTTTTCGTTGAAACCTTCTGCTGCCAGGCCACCAAGATTATACGGCTTACCAAAAATACATAAAGTTGATACACCTCTTCGTCCCATAGTCTCTACTATCAGCTCCCCCACCTACAAATTAGCTCGTTTTTTGTCTGAAATCCTGCGTCCTTTCACTGGAAAGACCACCTCTGCGGTACAAAATTCTACTCACCTGGTATCAACAATCAAGGGTATTTCCCTGTCCCCAGACGACCTGCTTGTCAGTTTTGATGTAGTTTCCTTATTCACCAAGGTTCCTGTACCTGACACCATTGCAATCATTGAAGACTTGGTTCATCAAGGACTAAACACTGAGGTACCCCCCCTGGTGAGACACTGTTTAACCAATACATACTTCACTTGGAATGGAACTTTCTACAAACAAACTGAGGGCACCCCAATGGGCTCCCCCCTTTCTCCAGTTATAGCTAACATTTTCATGGAGAAATTTGAGACTGACGCCATCCAGACTGCCACTCTGCGCCCAACCTTATGGAAGAGGTACGTGGATGACACTTTTGTCATCTGGCCACATGGCCGGCCTGCTCTAGACAAATTCTTCGACCACATCAATTCCATACACCCAGCCATCAGATTTACCATGGAAGTCGAAATAGATGGCAAGATACCTTTTTTGGATGTCCTAATTAAAAAGAGACCTGATGGTTCAATGAGCCACTCTGTCTACAGGAAAGCTACCCATACGGATGCTTATCTGAAACCGGATTCCCACCACCATCCATCACAGAAGAATTCTCTCATCAAGACTCTGTATCATAGAGCCCAATGCATATCCGACCAGGAACACATAAGCAGTGAACTCAAGCACGTACACCAAGCTCTTAGGGCTAATGGTTACTCCGACTATACAATCCGCAAAGCTATCACTCAAACCATGAAGAAGAACCCTCTTGAGGAGCCTTTCAAAACCATCACTTTACCCTACATTGCTGGGATCACAAAAAAGATCTCCAAAATCTTGAATAAACACAAGATCCAGGTCCGTTTCAACACATTACATAAAATCCGTGATCTGGTTCCGTCTGTAAAAGATGTGATTCCGGACATACAATACCCTGGTGTCTACAAACTAAGTTGCCTCTGTGGTAGTAGTTACATTGGAGAAACCAAACGCCATATCTCGGACCGCATTCGTGAACATAAAGCAGACCTTAAACACGGTAGGACCAACACCTCGGCCGTAGCAGATCATTGTTCTAATTCAGTAGGCTCACATGCCATTGACTTTTCCAAGACGGAGGTTCTTTGTAAGCCATCTGGCTTCCATGAGAGATTCGTTCATGAGGCTATCCACATATACAAACACAGAGACAATTTCAACCGAGAAGATGGATTCTATCTTAGCAATCATTGGAAAGATTTGATAAATCATTTCAGTTCTTGATTGATTGTTCACGCTTACAGTGCCTTTCAGACAGCATACATAAAAACAAATTTCGTCTCCCCCCTCCTCTTTTCAAAAAAAAATAGATGGACTAGTCCTGGCAAACTGCCATCGTTGCGCGTGACGCAAACGTTATTTTTATATATATAAATAAATATGCCGTTTTCAAAATAAATTTATGCAAACCGACACACCTGATGATGACCGTTTGAGTTATGGTCGAAACGTCGTGAGAATTTTTTTATTGTTTTATATATATTTTGTTATTTTGTTGTTTCTCTTCAACGTGACTTTACCGAAAAAAAACTAAGAATATCTCAAAGGTACTTTATTTGTAAACATTTAAGAATCAAAAATAGTCAAATAAAGACGTAGAATACATTTTACTTATCTAAACGTGTCACTTTGCAGTACATGTATGCAAAAATAGCATTCCTATGTTTAATAGCTATAAAATACTGAGGCAATACCATTGTGTTTGCTTTCATAGCCAATGTAAGTTTGAAAACCTACTCGTACCATATGGTGAATTTTTTTTTGTTGTAAAAATACCAAACCTGTTTTGTATTTAGTTGCAACATTTCCTTTTTTTTTATAAATAACGATTGAACATGTTACTGTTAAACACCAGCAATTACAATGTGTCCTTAATTCTATGATAAACATGTTTGAATGTTAGATTATGACAAGAGGACATTTTGTACACTGTCACAAAGCAAGAAAGCTATGCTCCTCTCCATAGCTCCACAAACCCAGCATGCGATCTTGCAAACAACGTACACTTGTACAAGCTTCTAGTTTGAGAAAGAATTCCATGAAAGATTTAGAGCTTAGTGCCTGAAGCTCATTCGAACTATGGGGGGGGGGGAAACCTGGTAAATCACACTGTAACAAACTAAATTTGATTTAATTCGAGGTCTCTTGAAATGATCATGACTCGGTAACATTGTTTTGCTTATTCTCTTCCGACGTCCGCAGTATGCACAAAATTCACACATGTTACACAAGGGCTCTTCAGTGACATCACAAATAATGGAGACGACTTGGGGATGCCTTCGTCCAGCAGCAGAAAGATAACGACTTTAAATAATGATCAGCAATACATGCAGTATTCAAATGGGCGTGTAACTGTTGTGTTGTGCTCAGTCCAGTTCTTGCAAATGCTGTTTCCTCCTTATGAGTATCTAAAGGACTGCCTGCTGGGTGAGATGTTTAATTTCTAAAATGTAAAATACAATGTCCTAAAAGATGTCCGTTCAAATTAGCCCTTGCTTATTGTATGAAAGCACCATGGTGAGCAACTAGTGTAGTTATTTTAGAAGTACATTAGAACTGTGCTGTTAATCCATTTGAGAACAATTAATAAGGAGCTTAAATCGTGATGGTACTAGATAAGTCGGCAAACGAATGGCATGTTACAGCCGTATGTTTTTTATGCAGAATTTTGATCGAAGATCAAACTGGAAGTATTTAATTTGGTACTATGTATTAGCAGGTTATTTCAATTTTTAAAAAATCGTATATACTATGTGACTTACACACCTCACCACACCTCCCTCGTTCAAACTTATGGCCCCAGCATTTGTTAACAATACACATGAGAAGACTGCAATTAACAAAATGATTTTTATCTCCAAAGAAGCATATGAAACCCGCAAATTGGTTAACACTATTTAATATACAAAAATGGTATTCATTGTTCAGACAGCATGCACTTTCATTGACTGATAAGTTGGGAGTATTGTATTTCTGAGAAAATGTGTGGTTAATAAATTGTTTTCTCGTAAATAAATATGGCCACAGGCGATGCATAAAAATATATATTACTAAGGGCAGTTGCTTACTATTTATAGTCCGGTATATGTATCTGACACTGAATCATAAAATATAAATAATGTATTCTAATTATTCCTTTCTTGCAAGATAAATGTAACCGCAAGGTGGATATTTAAATGTAAGATTGATGGTGGGCGTACTTTATTTTATTTTTCATCAGGCAGTGGCAGAACAATTAATAACACCAAAGGCATTATTATAACATTCCATAATCATCCATATCCATCTCATTATCTCGTAAAAATATATATAGCATTTAAATACACGAAGAGCAGGCGATAGCTGGAGCTTGGTGATACGAGGGTAGTTTTGATGAAGATTTGGTACCTGCGGTATGTTTTAATGAAAAGTACAAAAAAGCCCCTTCTGTGCGAGCAAGCACATTATGTGAACCATGCTTTAAGAGTATAAATGTTGAATGAGCTAATATGTGGATAATGGTTCCAATTTTAGATTTAAAATATGTGTATCTATAATTTATGTTTGAATATATTGTTCTATAAAAACGTATTTCAAAAATATAGCACAGTATTTGGAATAAAAAATATGGCAAAGGGCTATGCTGTGCAATTTCATTCCCGTGTTTGAGCCAAAGTAACCAAGGCCCTCTGTGGTAGCAGCAGCAGCAGGCAAGCCGGGCAAAGCAAGTTGACAAGTGCTGGACTCTCATGTCCCATCCGTAGAGAAATCTGAAATTGGTGCATGTCTGGCTTATATCCTTTATTGAGTCACTGCAATCTATTCACACAAATGCCTGTGACCAGAGCTAATACTCGAAATAGGGGCAACCCACATCTGTACAAAACCACTTGCCCCATTCTCCTTCCCCAATCAAATATCATTCCCCCCTTATACTGCACTATATTTGCCTCCTCCAAAATATCATCACGTCCCGACTCTTAACCAAATAGCTTTATAAAGCACGGCTGGCAGTAAGGCTTCTCGTTCTGCTCCTTGAAGGTTCCCTTGTTCAGCTGCTTGAGACAGAAGGCGCACACAAAGTGCTCGGGGTGAAACTTCTTGGCCATGGCAGAGATGCATCGGCCCGTGATGGGCTTCTGACAACCGGAGCAGAGCGAGCCGCGGCGCTCGTGGTAGTGCACCTCGCAGTAGGGCTGTCCCTCGTGCTCGAAAAAGCTGCCGTTGATGAAGGGCGTGAAGCACTCCTGCACGCGCACACGCCCTCGCGCACAAACAACGGCATGGGGACATGAACAGCAGTGGCCGGAGGCAGTGGCGCCACGACGCATAAGCAAGTTGAGCAAAAGTATTTGCGCCCCAAATGGCTCAAGGGCGTGCTGTGTATATACTACTCTTTTTTTCTAATCTCACTGCATCTCTCAGTCTTTATCGCTTCCATCATCTTACTAGGAGTTCATGAATTTAAAGTGGGGGGTGGGGGGCAAACATTTTTTTTTTTGCATCGGGTTGCCAATGGGCTCGCATGACCACTGCCTGGAGGAGTGATGCCCCTTTTAAGTAATCATTATTGGCATCAGCGTTTTTATAACCGAAAGTGACTGTACCTAACGAGGACCAACAATGGAATAATTTACACCTGTCCAGTTGGTGAAAAGTACATCCATCCCAGTAAATGCATCACAACTGCAATGGTCAATTCTGGACGAACAAGAATCAGGAGTATTTACGGGAGTCGGCAGAAGTGTTTCAGCAATAAAAATGACCGTGGTAATGAGTTGGCACAGTCTTATTTTACTTATTTAAATATTGAATTCACATTTATGTGTTTTAATTAATGAGCAGTGAATTGCTACTTCAATTTCCCAAACAGGCAAGACAGGAGGCCTTGGACGGTCTATTATCTTTATTAAACACAAGTATGCTTAATCTATATTTTAAGCTTTCGTGACTGCAGGAATCCATACTCTTTGGTTCTTTCGGTAAAGTCACGTAGGTATAAAATAAAATAAATCATGACGTTTCGATTTAAACACAAGCAATCATAATCAGGTGGGAAAACGAATAAGTAATTAGTTATTCAGCATAATAAACATTGATGTTTGATTATTTTAAGTGAATGTCAGCTTGGAGTGGTAACAAAGTGGTTAATGCATGGTGCTATGAACCTGGTAATCCGAGTTTGCTTCTGACCCATGGTTGTGAACCTTGGCGAGTGATATCTGAACTGGTCCTGAGGTCGTCATCCCACTCTACCGACCCGCTGTCCAGTGTGAAGGGGTACGGTCCAAGAACTTCCATGATCAACATGGCATCGGAAAGCCTCATTCACCGTCGGATTAACAACAGGGCTACAAATGATAATTGTTGATGAATGTCAGCATGCTCGAACGAATATTGGACAGTGCTCTCGTATTAGTATGGTTGTCTACCGTGCGAAAGATGTTCAACATAGATACATAAATGGTCTTAAGCCAGTGGTAAAATATCATATACCTCTGGCAATGATCAATTTATCTAAAGGATGATTCCCATTCCCTCAACAACTTGCAGCTCAGCCATAACATGACAATAGTTCAAGTTCACTTTATAAATTCGATTACACACGGATTGGCACTGAACAGCCTTGTGACAAATCTTGATATTACAGATTTTATTCTATCGGAGACTGCAATCTCACAATTCAATTGGTCTTATTAATGAACCTGTATTGGAGCCTACAAGAGTCCTTAACACAAGTGCATTCAATTGCATACCACACACAAGCCCACAAGGGTATTTTTGGATTTCCATCAGCCATCTGACAGATGTGATAAATAGTGCAGCTTACAGGAGTATTGACCCTGTTTTCAGCAGAAGCCCTGGTTAAACTGCTACATTCATTATATTGTTCACAGTCAACTAAACAATGTGGAGAAATAAAATGGCATGAGCTTTCCTTTCAGAAATGTGAAGCATGTAAATCCGAGGTCCACTAACATTTTCCACTAATCTTGACCTCCAAGAATCACACAAATAAAAATAAAAGTTAACCTTTCAGAATATATACTGTACTTACGAAACAATGAGCTTCAACACATTAACATTTATCTTTTTACAATTATCTATAAAAATTGAGTGTTAAAACTTAGATTTGGTTTCCAAGTAACCATTTGTAAAACTATCAAACCGACAAAGAGGTGAAAATCTATTTGTCAGCAGCTGCCTGTCAACTTCCTTCCCTCTGGAAGTGCCAACCCACACAGGCATGTAATCCAGGCTGGGTCTCAAGGCTAGAATTGATGGTACCTTCTAAATTCAGTCATACTGCAGTATTACACAATGTGCACAATTGAATGCATTAGCACGAGTGCTATTGTATGCGTGCCAATAGTGCTATTGTGTGCGTGCCAAAATCTTTTAATATCCTGCATACTGCTGCGATGACCAGGCCTAAAGTCACGTTTAAAACTGGACTTATTCAATGGCGCTGAGTAAAGCGGCATGCCCTTCATTATGTTTGCAATGAAGAAGACAAAGTAGTTCACAGCTTTTATGTAAACTGAAAACTTAAAAACACTCTAAACATTGCTTTACAGCAAGCACAAGACCAAACTAAGTGACGAGATCCATCTTTGGTGTTCATAATCATCATCAGCAGCAGCAACCATTATATATCCACTGCTGGATGAAGGACATCTCTCAAGATTTTTCAATGCAACAATCCATGCAGCACCTGCATCCGAGCCAATTTCCTTGCTTCATCTCCAACGATGGATGTCTTCTCGAGAACTTGCATTTTTTTAATGAAATAATTGTGCCAGATACAAAAATAACAGATTATTCTAAACATCATAATTGCAGCCAATAGTCCACAAACAAATGAAATAATCTAATTAGAGATTTGGTGATGAAGCAAGGTACATGTGGTACTAAAATAAGGTTTTAATCAAACAAGTGCAGATATGCCAATGTTTTCAGGAGACTTTAACCTTATTATTTTTAAGCGTGCTTACCTATGAAAAAAACAGGTTTTAGAAGTTGGGGAGGATGTTGCAATGTGTAATCCCTACTGAGTAATTTGCAGGTATTTATTTAACTTTTGGATATTTGGCCAATACCAGTTACATTGCAATTGTGTATTGGTTTTTACCTCTAGGAGTATTCCAGAGAACCTAGAGGAAACCTATGTAGAACAGGAGGAGGACATACAAACTCCACAAAGAAAGGTTCCCAGGTCAGGAGTCGAACCCAGACCCTTCTTGTCATGAGGCACAAGTGTTCCCATTGCACCACCCTGTCACCTGAGAGTTGGATTATAATCCAACTCTCAGGTGATATTATAATCCAACTATCACCATGTAACGAAACAATATATTGTTTGTCCCCGCATAGTGTTATTTCTAATTGCTTATGCCTCAAGAGTACAGAAAATGGCTATTATTCCCCACAAACTTTGCTTTTGTGACCAGGACAGTGATATTTTGAAATGCACCTATGTCAATGAGAAAACGTGTGCATTTGTGTCATTCCTTCACATAAAGTCCTTTTTAGGCATAACCAATTAAAAATAACACTTACTACCCAGGGACAAAAATTGTGTTACATAGTGTTATAATCTAGCAATGGATAATGACGTTCAGTGACACAAAGTCAGTGCATGCAATCATTAAAAGCAAGGCACAACCTTTATCCACAAGTGAAAGGCCCGGTTTTCTTTAGGGGGGGGGAAATAAATAAATAAAGTGCCGAGTTATGTAAAACACATTTTGATTCTCCCATCCCCAATTACCCGACAGATGAAGCACTCAGGATGCCACACGGTGTTGAGGGCAGACAGGTAGTTCTGCATGATCGCACGGCTGCAGCCATTACACTTGGGCGCAAACATCCCATAGTAGTCTTGCCGGCAGTATGGCTTTCCATCTCGCTCATGAAAACCTGAATTATCACAGCGAGGGAAGACAGGACCGGCCACATTTAGAAGCCTTGAAAGCACTCATATTAAAAGCATTACATTACATTACTAGCTTGTCATAAACTTTCTGACGTGATGTGAAATATGTTTTAGACGAAAAAAAGTTATATTTGGTGCATATGCTGAGCATATATTAAAATACATGTATATGTGCTGATGAGGAGCGGTAGCGCAGTGGTTAGCACATTCCGCTACAAACCTGGCCACCCAAATTCGATCATTGTTCACAGTGAACGTCAGTTGGAGTCTGAATCTCCCCTTAACCAACCGAAACTGACCAGCATGGTGAAGTATGGTCAAACAACCCCCAAGACCAATATTGACATGGGGGGAGACTCCTTCATCCATCAGTGGATTGACAAAAGGGGTGAACATTTTCATTTCTATTATATATGTACTTAAGTTAATATTTCCTTTGAATATTATAAGCAAAGCAGCTTGTGAATTGTCACAAAAATTAGACCGGCCGAGTTAATGTTATGGCTCGTGCACATTGTGAACAGTGCCTCCGTTCAGCCTAGAGTTCGTTGGATAGGCAAGCCTGCCGATAGCACACAGTCAATTCAATGATGCCGTTAGATTTACGGCTTAAATGTAATCCAATAAATGTAGTCTGCCATTGTTTATATTTCAAATAATTTTCCATCTCATGCACTTTCAGAATATTACAATTTTGTTCATTCACTCTGAATTCGGCAGCAATAATGCTTGGTGCAGTGATAGACACATGGACTTAAAAACTGTACGCGATGAAAAATACATCAGAGTAGCATCATTTTTTCATACAGTCACATTTATTTATTAGAACATCTTATTGTTACGTGAATTTCGATTACATCTTGTTAGAGTCATGTGTATTTTTATACATTTCAGCACTTCCGTTTTTCTACACATAAACTGCACTTATGCTCTGGTGAGTTAATGCAAAAACATTTATTGTTAATGTATCAGCCACTTGGCTAGTTGAACCGTTTAAGTTATTTTATTGAATATATGAATTACAATTTAAAAAAATAATTTTACATAACCAAAAATGCTACACTTAACATAATTCCCAGCAAAGATTTTGATGATAACTATAATAGTATATTATCAAAGTAATGACAAGGGCATTATTTAATTATTAATAAAATATTGTGCTTTCGTGTCTGAAATGCTTTGTCTGCAATAATAGTCGCAATTCTTTCATTGTAAGTGGAAAAATGGCTCAATTGATGAGAACATTCATAAACCCTCACAAACACGTTCATCTTGAAGCTCTGTAATTACGTAATTTCCCCACTGTGTATTTGATTACATTTGTTATATTTATTTCTATGAATCCATGCAAGCGTATAATATACAGCTTATTGACAATAAACCATCACTGGATGAAGGTCTCCCGAAATTATTTTGGTCATGGCAGTTGGTTGAGGGGTAGCGCAGTAGTTTATACACTGCACTATGAACCTGGACATCCGAGTTTGATTCGCAACCGTGACTAAGATCCGTGGCAAAGCATACCGTACATCATTGGTTCTCAACCGGGGGTACACGGACCCCTGGGGGTACATGGGAGTAAGTGGTGAATAATCACGTATGAATATGGCAATTTTAAATCACTACGGTGACATTAAAATGTATATGGTAACCTAGAACGATATGAAATACCTTTCTAAACTCATTAAACGATGTGGTTTCCAAGAGTAACCAGTGAGCGCGAACAAATTACGTCATGCATGCAAAGTGTCCGTAGATATTGATTTTGCTCATTTTTTATTTGTGTGCATTTACTAGCTAGTTAGGATACCTCCCAAAATGGACCATGGGTTAAAATATTGATTTTTATTATTCATACATTTCTCAGAACCATGGGTCAGCAAGGGGGTACTCGGTTGAAACTAAATTCAACAAGCGGTAGCCAGAAGAAGGTTGAGAACCACTGCTGTATATATGATGTCAAACATATTCTGCAAAAAAAAATACATTTTACTCAATGGGATATTTAACACGAATAAAACTCACTCACAACTTATATATTAGAAATTGAAGGCATACAAATCTTTGGAAAAATATTCTAAATGCTTCGGCTCACAATAATTTACATATTTTTTGTTTCCTTCGGTAAAGTCACGGGGATAGAAAAATAATTAAAAAAACAAAGTGAATGAAAATTTAAAAAAACACTAATGTAGACTCTAGCCTGGTTCTTAATCGGAGTGTACTGACAAATCTATAATGTGGACTGTAGCCTGGTTATTAGGTTTGGTGAGTGTACTGGCAGTCTGTAATGTAGTCTGTAGCCTGGTTCTTAACCTCAGTGAGCGAAATGGCAGTCTATAATGTAGACTTATTCTCAGGTTAGGAACCAGGCTACAGTCTGCATTATAGACTGCCAGTACTCTCACTCAGTTTAATAACCATTGCTACAGTCTACATTATAAACTGCCAATACACTCACCAGCTTTAAAACCAGGCTACAGTCTACATTATTGACTGCCAGTTCACTCACAAAGGTTAAGAACCAGGCTACAGTCCACATTATCGATTGGAAGTGCACTCACTCCGATTAAGAACCAGGCTACAGTCTACATTAGTGTTTTTTTTATTCACTTCATTTTGTATTATTATTCGTGACTTTACCGAAAGAACCAAAGAATATGAATTCCTGCAGTCATGAAAGTTAAGTCGGTAATTAATATTATTTAATCCCTGCGTAAAGTACTTATGTAAAGCAGTTGTATAATTTGAATAATTCACACATGGTGCTTCAGCATAATTCCACAAGTACTGTGCAAAACTATTTATTGGCCAGATTTTCGCCGCCAATGACTGCCAAGCGCTGTACAAGATGAGACGTGACATCCATGCTAATGGTCTGCCACATAGTGGAAGAAACTAACATTACAGCATAAAAAGGCTGTCACATATTTTATCTATCGCACGACAAGGATGCCCTCTATGAAGATGTGCTGACCTTTATAAAGTGCCTTTGTCCATTACAAAGCTCCGCTGACCACTATTTGGCTTCGCTGAGCTATATTCTGTACATCTCCACTGCCATCTCAAAATAACCAAAGTCAACAAACCATACTGAATTGCCGCTCAAATGGGCAGTGAGGGGGTATGTATCTCCTATTTACAGCCCTGAGCCAGTTGTGGAAATTCCACATTCATATGACAGGGGTGGGTCATTCCATAGGACTACTGCTGACCTCCCCACAAAGTGGTGCTTGCTCACAAAGTGGTTCATCCCCCAGAGGGATGGTGGCCTCAGTCAATCCCCAACCATGATTTGAACACACAACCTGCTGTTTGAGAGCCCCCGCTCAACCGCTGATCCACTTTTGCCAGGTTGGTTAATACTTGGTGTAACAGCGCACGCTGTGGAATAAGTGGAGGTGGGTCCGAATTACGCCATCATAATTGGTCACCATAAACAAATGCCATATGCGTAATTAAATTACTAAAACTATTTTTATCTACCAGGTAAGGCCCACCGAGTTATACAGCTCTTTTTCAGAAGCAACCTGGCCATAAATGATAGCTCAACGAAGTGTATTGGATATTGCACTGCGCTATGCACCCAGGTTACCTGATTTTTGTACGACTATAACTATAACTTTTTTTAACCAGGTAAGGCCAACTGAGCCATACTATATAACTTTTTTTCAGAAGTGACCTGGCCACTAATGATAGCTCGAAGAAACGGCTTATCTTGTGGAAATGTATAGCAGCCAAATACTCAAAACGCATGTTTCTAAATGTGAACGGAAAAACTGCAGAACCCGGATAAAAATCCACACGACCACAGGGAGAACAAGTAAACTCCAAATATACAGCAGGCATCAGGGTCAGGATCGAACTCCACAACCTCCTGCATACCAGGCGAGGGAGTTAACATCTCGCCACCGTGCTTTAAAATATGGCAGCATTTTAGCAGTTAAAAAGAAAAAAACCCAATAAAAGAAGAAATGTCAATGTTGCTACTATTGTTTAGAACAACCCACATCAAGGGTGCATGCTCACTAATCCTGTGCCACCAACCTTCTTCTCCAAACGGCCGGCCACACTGTGCGCAAAAAAAATGTTCAGGATGCCAAGTTCGATCCAAGGCTGTCACCACTCGCTGGTTCCGCAAAGAAAGACAAAAAAAGAGATACAAACATAGATAAAATCACCCATACCACATATTCACGCAATGTACAGAGACAATTTCATAAATACACACACCACACACAGTATAGACAAACATCAAAAAGGATTACAGCACTGTAATTCGGTACTGAATATTAGTTTTAACTGTATCCATTATGTGCTCGCAGTTAAGTAAAGATTACTCCGAAATGAGCCAGTCCTTGTTTCACAGAATTTTCTGGGTCAATTGCGGACAACGCAACGCATACTGCTTTGAAAAGCATCAATCATTCAATTAACTTTATTGAATACAGCTGGTGCCAGTGCCCAGGGAAAACACATTGCGGCGTTTAAATAGTTAAAACGAGCGCTGCGTTTAGTGACAATATGTTCCATGGTAAAAGTCACACTGGGTCATGTAGTCACATACATCGAGCAACTGACCAATACGCTCAGTACTAAGCAGTCAGGGATACTGAAATGCAAATGCAGCAAAAATAAAATAAAAGGTGCAGCCGTGCATTGTTGCTCACATCACTGCTGACAGAAGGAGCTCTACAGCAGAAGGAGCTCTTGAGTGTCCCTCGAGATGGTATTTTGGCGTACTCTTCCACACTAACCAAATAGCTTGGAAGAGGTTGGTAGCCGCCAAACTCTACCCCCCCACCACATCGCTACCTGTCAATCGATCAATTGTTGTGAACCCATTTCTACTGCTGTGTGGATGTAGAGGCGGCGGCGTTGGAAAGGGTTTTTTTTTACTTGCACCGTTTCAACCGCCGTCCCCCACAATAATTAACCAAACCGGTGACCTCTGGGGATTGCTAACTAGCCCAGTGTGCTAACTCTTACACAACCGCAACAGACAAAGCAATTTCGATTTAAAGCTTTCGTGACTGCAAGGATTCATCTTCTTTGGTTCTTTCGGTAAAGTCACGTAGAATGAGAATAAAATAATAATTTGACTAAAATAAAATAACACAATAATATTCTCACGTTTCGGCCACAACACAAGCGGCCTTCATCAGGTGAAGGGGACGAGACTGTCTGGAGGACAGCGCTGTCCCCTTCAGAATATTATTGTGTTATTTTATTTTATCAATTTATTATTTTATTCTCATTCTACGTGATTTTACCGAAAGAACCAAAGAAGACAAAGCAATTTTAGAGCATTACAGAAGCGTACTTATGAATTGATACTCTCGGCTGTGAAGCCCTCCCTGAGGATGGAAAAGCAGCCGTGAAATGTTTTCTTCATAACACTTCCACAGATATTTTCAGATGTACATCTAAATTGGTAAATAATTCATATTTTAGCACATTTCTGTTCATTCCATGTGTACTGTACAGGCGTAATGTTAAATCATTCTTCAGAGGTCCAGTACACAAAAAAGTGTATCCATGCCAAAATTGTCAATAAAAGTTTTTTTCTGTACAAAACAATATAGAGTCACGCTTCCGGCATCTACTTCAAAATAAAACTATATAATCAGAACTTTCATGAATATCGGACCAGACTCTGGTTCTTTCGGTAAAGTCACGCAGATAGACAAAAATAATAAAAATGAAATAAAACACGTTTCAGTCGCAACACAAGCGTCCGTCTTCTAGGTGAGAAAAAATGATCTGCTGTTGTGGCTTTATATAGCACGGAAAGGGGGGGGGGGGGAGGAGTTTGGCTGTAGGAGTTAGGCACGGGAGGGGGGGAGGAGTTTGGCTGTAGGGGTTAGGCACGGGAGGGGGGGAGGAGTTTGGCTGTAGGGGTTAGGCACGGGAGGGGGGGGAGTTTGGCTGTAGGGGTTAGGCACGGGAGGGGGGGGGAGTTTGGCTGTAGGGGTTAGGCACGGGAGGGGGGGGGGAGTTTGGCTGTAGGGGTTCACAGGGGAGAGGAGTGGAGGGTTTGCGGCGTGCAGGGACGGGTGGGGGCCAAACATCTTTATTTAAATTGGGCGTAATGAGTTATCTGACAAACATGACAAAAGAGAATCCGCAGCCTGGTAAAGTGTAAAAATTGGACATTTAAGCAACCCCGCGCCAGGAGCTCAAAAGCAAGTGGTAGCAGCAGCTGATGGAATCAGTCTGAGAGTGAAAGTGCAAGCCGCTGTCTAATACTCACATCCATTACGGCCTCGTTGCAGTAGGCGCAGCGGGGCGAGAAGAGGCTGTGGTAATCCTCTTCGCAGTACGGTTGCCCATCCTTCTCGAAGAAGTTGCGCGAGCCAATCTCCACCTGGCAGTGGACGCACACGAAATGCTCGGGGTGCCACGTGCGCCCCATCGCGGTCACCACCTGCCGAGTGCGCGCAGCCACAGGCGAGACGCGGAGGACAAACTGCCCTCAACGGTTACAGGTCAATGGGCCGATACGCAAAATAGCACAGCGTGTTCACATCGTGTGTAGGCATGTGTACGTTGAGTTTCTTTCGACACCAACCATGTTAATCGGAGGTGCAGATCAAGGGACCTCCTTATATTTTTTTGTGAACTCCTTATACACGAGGACAAAGACAGCCATGCCCCTCTACACCGCCCCCCCCCCAAACCCCCTCCCCACATAGCCTACACAGGCTGTTTAGGGAGTGCTGTTAGCGAGCACCGATGAAGACCAGCACAGCACCTGGCCACCTTTGTATCGCCAGTGGTGATATTAACACACCGTATCAGGTAGTTGTTTTAGGTTGAATTGAGATAGGGAAGGCCCAAAACTGGTTTAGATAATCACCACTGCAGTGGCCAGCAATTGTATTTGGGCTGCTGGGTTCATAGTGTAGTGTGCTAATCACTATGCTACTGCTCCCACACACATATACACGCCTTTACAAGGTGGCTAACATTTGTATCATGCTTAGATCACAAATTCTCTCATCAGCCTTTAGAATTTTCTATATTGACACCAAACCCTTAATCTTGGCGAAAATAACGTGCCTTATAGACCCAATGGTACTGTTAAAAAAAAGGAAATTATAATCCTTCTGTCAATCCATTACTGGATGAAGACCTTTCACACCTTCCCGTAATAGGAGTTGTTTAATCATACTTCACCACACTAGTCAGTGGGGGTTGGTGAAGAAGGAGGCCCGAAAACCGGATCAAGTGTCGCTCACCAACTGATGTTAGCTGTGGCTGGGAATCGAACTCAGGTCGTTGTTTCGTAGTACAGTGTCGCACCATGCAACCCCCCCCCACAACAACAACAACCCCCTGCCCCCTAACCCACCTCTACCACTCCTCGACTTATGTCAGTAGCCTTTAAGGCTGCACAGGTCATCGTCTCACCATTCTCCCACGTGCAGTTATCTTACTTTAAAATATTCGAAAGCAAGCGTGGGGCCGCTGGCTAAGTATTAAGCTCCAAGGTGCTATCTGTGCCCTCCTACTATATGACGACCACCTGTCGGGATACAGCTGAAAATCTGCCGATCTCAAAAGCAGAGGCGACACAATGCATTCGCCGCTCTTCACGCACGTTCGCTCGCTCGCTCGCTCTCGCGCCTACCTGCCCAACGATCGGCTTGCGGCAAGCGGCGCACACCCCCTTCGCCACGATAGGGACACCCTGGCGGTTTAGGTCTGACTGTAGGCTGCCCAGCATGTTGTCCAGCTGCCTGCTGCCCTGCTGTGGAAGGGCTGGCAAGGGAGGCTTTTGCGGTGGGGTCGCAGCTGGCTGAGGATCTTGGGGCTCCCGCTGTGGCGCTGGCTGCGGTGCTGGCTGCGGCGGTGCCACCTGATATATATACGTACAAAATGCCAACGCAATTCCATCACTTCCCTTCTTTAAAAAAAAGAAGCGGGCGGTTAATTTTGGCTGTTGAACACGTGCAGCATACCGGAAGGAGAAAGTGACTGGAAAGAACTTGCCTGGCGTTTTGGAATGAGTGGTGGAGGAGGGGGGGGAGAATGGAGTTTAGGAGATGGTAAAGCGTCGCTGAGATCTATCTCTGGAAGCTGTGAAATAGGAACGTGGATTTGTACAAAACAGGCTGTGCTTTGAAATACACAGTACAACAGTGGAAAGAAGAGGCATGCATGCACAGATGTTAATTGAGAAAGTGAAATGTTAAAAGCCTGACATGCATAAATATGCAAATATAAACAAATACGGCTTTGCGAAAAATGGTTATGACATCAAGGAAGTTTTCTCAAAGAGTTAACATGTATTGTAATACGTGTTTTTTTTTTTACTTTTTAGCATCTCATGTTGCGAAACATAGCATGTATATTGCAGTGTATCCAATGACAAAAGCACGTCATGCCTTTTCAACAGTTGAATAGGAAGGAGCAGGCATGGTTTCATGATATGTAAATTGGACCTCCTGGGTAGGTGACCGCGCCTGGAGAAAAAAAGACAATTACGAGCAAGGCACAGAGATATTATAAAGTGGTGGCAGGACTTATATGGTTCAATGCTGCATTTGCAGAAATAATCATAATGACAGGATCAAGCCCAACAACACAAGTTCTGGTCCAATTTGTTGCCACTTTAAGGGGTTGTGGTACGGGACAGCTACTTGTCAAACGATAATAGCAGCATATTCACGAATTAGGGCAGTCACTTGCGCATTGTATACACAATTTAGCATTTCTGCTGCTTGGCAGTCCATGTCAAATAATTAACACACCCCCTACATTCAGGAACACATTACCATCTGTAATGTGATGCCCAGGACATTTTAATCGGTGTACTTGTGAATGTCATCGTCTCATATAGTTTTACAAATGCTCATAGAAATGCTTTAACTTTCTCTCCAGAGTAGGCAGAGGATAATTGTGGCGATTGCCAATGATTGTCACGAATTAACCGTAGGCTTAATTTTACATTTCATTACGATGCCATAATTAACCAACGGCTATTTACAAATAAATGAAATATACAGCGCTTTGTCAATTCACTGCCTGATGAACACAACCCCACCACCCCCCCCCCCCCCCCGATGCCATATCGGTAATGACCATACCTCACCAAACTGGCAAGTGCGGGATGGTGAAACTCAGAGTGGTCCATCGAGCAATTCAGACGTCAGCCCGCCACTGATGACAGTCATGACCAGAAATGTAGCCCAAATCACCAGATTCATAGAACAACGCATTAATCACTGCACCACCACTCCGCCCCAACCACCACCCCCTGCTGCAATATATTATGCTTGAAGATTTTGGAAGCTTATTTCCCAAAAATAATAATAATCAGCATTTAAGTAAATAATCAAATATAATACCGCAGAGCTCTTTAACAGTGCAAGTTAAATTCTCATCAGGATAGATCGCTGTGACACAGACAATGACAGCTAGTGAACCAAGTCAGCATGCCTGTGGTGATTCATCAAAGGGGATGTCAGTCTGGCAGCCAACAGACACGCTGGCTCGGGGTGCTCTGCTGACACTCGTAGCTGGGAACACCAAAGGCTGTTGCAGTTGCAGCAATAAGGAGTCCAGCTCAGCTGTGATTTGTTGTTCGGCCGGAGATGGGGCCTCGATGTGGCCCAGACGAAGCATAACTTTGGCCAATTCTGGCGATTCACGTGGCGGCGGTGGCGGTGGTGGTGGTGGTGGTGTTGGTGATCTGGGCTCCAGGTGTGGATGGTAAGCACGCTCCGGAGGGGTCGGCGGTTCTGATGGCATCGGTGGCGGTGGCAACTGTGGCTCCGCTTTGGAGATGGGTGGCGGTGACGGTTGATGACGCGGTGGAGGAAGTGGTGGTAGGGGTGGAGGTGGGGGTGGAGTTGGTGGAAGAGGAGGAGGGAAAGCAGGAGCAAATAGGACTTTTCGGGTTTGAAGAGGAGAACAAGCTTTTGAGAACATCGTGACACCAGGAGGGTTCCTTTGTAAAGGCATTTCTTTTTTCTACAGAAAGAAGGGAAAGAACAAGAATTGCAATGAAAAAGGGTGTGGGGTTTTTTTACGCAAGTGACTGTTATATGCAATTGAACAGATAATGCAATCACGTGTTGATTGAAGTGATTTCACGCTTGCCTTTTGTTCCAATATAGGTTCAGACATAACGATAACCCCCTCGGTGAGCCACTCGTCCACCGGTTTCTTGGTTTCTTCCCCTTCCTTCTTGAAGATGCCCAGCCTGCTCTGCAGCTCCTGTATGACTTTGTCCTGTTTCATCGACTTATTGTAGATCACAGGTCCCATGCGCCTTCTGGGTTGCTTACTATTGTACATTGGATGAATATTGGTTGTCTCTTTGGTTCTCTTAATAACAAACTTAATCTGTACGAGTATCGAGAATAGGAAGAAGAAAAAACAGCGAGAAAGTTGCAGGTAGTGAAAGTAAAGTGACAACAAAACATCAACCCATTTGTAAACATATGGTGCTTGTGGTGGAAAAGTGAAATGTAAATGCACATAAATTATGCTTTGTAATCAGGCCCCAATTTGTGTTAGTAGAAAGCCATGCCATTTTTATGACTGTGTTTCGAAAATAATGGGTTTAAAAGCAGCTGAACTGCCAATCACCCTTAATCAAAATGCAATATGAATTGCAAAATAATGACGATCAATTAATCGTGTCTATAAAAAGTTGAATAATTATGTATGAAAAAGGTTAAAAGTGACATTGTTCAAAACATTGATCATTTAAATATAAGGAGAATGTGGAATTCACACAGGAGACATAAGTCACACATTTTAGTAAAGTGCTCACAGCCTGCAGGCTCACAACAGGCATGCAGTGAAAGTCAGACGAATGCACAGCCATTACGAGCCCATGAGTGCCAATGAAAGGGAGCCAGCAGCGTGCCTGCTGAGATGCAGAAACCTTCTTGATGCCCTCGGGAGGCAGAGTTGGAGGAAAATCAAAGGACTCGGATTTGATCACCACAGCATCTCCTGCTGCCTCATGCCCAGAATCATAAAGAACATTCTCCTTTTCGTCCTTTCTTGTGTTCCCCGGAGTGCCTGTAGGATCAGCTTTGCCATCTATAATCAAACAAGCTACCACCTCTCCTCCAATGTTAATGGTGTCCACTGGAGTTGGAAAAACGTGTTTTGACTCGGTGCAGAGCGTTTTCAAGGCCTGAGCATGTGGAACATCCATTTTGGATGGAGAATGTGCTTCCAGCGGAACAGATGGAAGACTTGATACTTTGGCCCTTTCTCTTGGTTTCGTCACAGAGAGCGCGGTCGTTCCTTGTGGACTACTTACGACATTCGACGTGACACTGTGCCAAGATGACATTGCAGGGATCTCCGCTGTTTTCTCTGGTGGCTCGTTAATTTTCACCTGCGAGAGTTCAGCCAGCGCCGTAGCTGGCTCTGTAACCATTGACAAAGAGCTAGTATCTGTTGCTTTAAAGACGGCCACATCTCCAGTTGAAGCACTATTTTTATTTACGTACATTTTTGGAAATTCTGAGAAAACTATTTGTGACTCAGCCTTGGCCGGGGAATTAACACCACCTTCTGATGGTACTGCCGATATTTGGTTGAAACCAGTCAATGTAGGCCCCGGGTTCTGTGTAACCATGCTGGATTGAGACTCTGATAGTGGAGGGATGTTGGATGTAGAACCACCAGGATTCAGGAGCTTTGCAAGTGCAGAACTTTTGTCTTCCAATTGTTCAAAAGACAAACACTTTGTCACTGTGGTATCTGAAATGTGTAACACTGCTGCAGTTTGGCTTTCTTGTAAGCTTTGCTGCCATTTATTTCCAGTGGTTATGGAATCGGTAATACAATGAATCTTATTCCCTGGGCCATCAATACTTGATGACTCTAGTATTTTATTGGAAAGCATGTCGATGCCTTGTTCAGCTGTCTTCTCAGCAAAATATTGTCTTGATGACTGATCTGTTTTGATAGTGTATGGAACATTTGGCTTTGCTGGGTCCATGCTTTTTGAATTTAGGGGAAGTTCCCAAGCTGTCAATGACAACACGAGCTCATTTTGTGAGCTCTTTTTTGACTGCACATCACAAATGACATCACCACAATTGCTTTCCTTCACCTTCTGTGGTTCTTTATGATCCAATTGTTTTGAGGGGGCTTTCTTTTGAGCGACCCACTGAATCTCCTTCCTTTGCGTAGTGTACACTGAGCTCTCATTATGTCCATTATATATGTCTTTAGTTTTATTGAGAGTAAGAGGAAATGCATTCACAGTTGATGAGCTATTTATGTCAGAGGTTGAAAGGTCAAGTGATAGGGCCTCTTCGTTAATGCAGAGAACTTCAAGGGGGCTGGAAGATCGAGAGGAGAGATTGGGAGAGGTGGATGGCATGTCTGGCACGTCAACCTTTAAGTTAAGACCATTAGTCATAGCAGAGAGGGTCACGTCTGACCCCGAATTTTCCCTCACGCCCTTCATTTGCAGTTTGCTTCTCTTCGGCTGAGATGTGCTTATCATGTTTGAGAGAATCTTGTCAGTGGACGCGAGGTCTGTCTTGAGAAGAGAGAGATCGTCTGGTATACATTCATCAGAGGGTGCTGAAAACTGCCGGCACAGGGGATTACAGGACAGCGGGAAAACAGTAATAAGGACAGATTATTAAAAGAGAAAATAAAACATGGAGACCAAAGAAATGAGAAAAGCAACTGAAGCAACATTAAACGCACCAGGAAAAGGATTTCACATTGTGACAGCTTGGTGTCTGTAGTTTGCTCCACAGAGCTGTGCACCGATGAGCCCTCACCACAGCACGTTTACTGAACAAGTCAAATGTTTTGCATTACGCATCTCGATACCTGGGAGGTTACATCACCCAGCGCTTTTGTTGCTTGCCGTGAACGCGGTGTGAAGCACGTATTGGGGGATTTACAATCACGATACCTTTTCTCAAAGCCTCACACCGTGTTTATATATAGCCCAAACACTACAAGGGAGGAAGACCCTCGTGAATATTTGTGTTCTCTGGTGCATCTCTTTCAGGGGCCCAAATTCATTGAGGAGAATGTACCCAAGTTTGCACGAGGAGTGGAAATGGTGTTCAGAAGCCTAACGGCGCCTGATGGGCCCTCCTTCTGTTATAAAACTACCCATGTAGGATTTTTCGATTTAAAGCTTTCGTGACTGCAGGGATTCATATTCTTGGTTCATTCGGTAAAGTCACGTAGAAGGGAAATAATGAAATAATAAAAATAAAACAAAATAAAATTCTCACAACGTTTCGGCCACAATGCAAGCAGCCGGCCTCAGGTGAAGAATAGAGCTGTCAGAAAGACAGCGTCCTAATGAGACTTTTATTTTATTATGTTTTATTATTTTATTAATTCCCTTCTACGTGACTTTACCGAAAAAAACAAGAATATGTACCCATGTAGGGTTTCATCGTTGTGCTGTATAGCTCTCCGGTGTGCTTTCGGCTTGTACCGTGCATTGTTATGGCGCAAAGTACACCATGCCAATTAACACGCGGTACAACCCGTTATCACATCAGAGAGCCCACTTCTTTTATCTCATACTTTCTGACTGTGACCTTTGCAAAGTCTGTTGTGGGCCTGACTGCCCATCATATTGGGGCATACTTACATTGGTCTGTATTTTGAAGTCCGAAAGGCAGGCCATGAGCTCATCCAGCTCTCTGGTGGCGGAGGAAGCAGACATTCGGGAAGGTTGGTGAACTGGAACAGCATTGCACATCTGAGCAGATGAGGGAGGACTGAAAGACACAAGTTGAAAACAGACCATGAATGACCATTAAATCGCCCGAGCACGTACATGAATAAAAATGTAACGGCTGCATGTCCACAGTTGTCATTTACATATTTTAGAACAGAACCCGATCGATGTCTCAGGAAAAAAAATAAACGAAAGAAATGGAACCAAAGTTAAATGCACAAACGACAACAAAAAGTTAACACGTAACCCTTTTTGCCACATTTTAGCCAAGTACCAAAGTCAAATGTAACCAAAAATACTGCAAAAGCCCATGTGTAAAAAGAAAATCCATAAACACACAATAGGTCATTGAGCAATGCTATAAAATATCAGCAGAAAAGATCAAGTCCATATTTTCTTACAGGAGAGCCAAGAAAAATCAGTGTCACAGAAAACTCTCTCTGTGCGGGGACAAATATCTCACGGGAATGAATGCGTGCAAGTAAGTGATCTTAGAGTTTCACATTTTTTATTTTACCAACACACGTGTCACCATTGTATTGCCTCATTATAGCGGCTAATCAATTGTTTAAGTTTATAGTAGGGGCCCAATTTTTTATTTATTTTACCAAGTCATTCAGGTAACTAATGGCCCTAAAAAAATAAACTGAATGTTGCGGGTTTTTTTCTCTCCCAAGATTACCCAACGTTGATGACCATATTTTCTGAACTATTGATGTAATTTGTACAAGCTACGTTTAAGCTAGCTTGTCTTGTATTTTCTTTATATTCCAAACAAAAAGCCACAAATCTAGGTAACACTGTGATATGTAAAAGAAAGGAAGTGGTTTGTTGCTCAAAGGAGTTTTCACAGAACCTCACCTCCTGTTTAAAGTCACGTGTTGTTTACAGAAATTCTGCATTGCTATGGAAGTCAAACCATGGGACAACCATTGTTGACTTTCCACAAGAAGGAATTCCTTTTAATATCCACCCTCCCGAGAGATGAAGGACTGTGTTTAACCCTGGCAAATGAACACGCGGTCTTCCGATTGCAAGCCATGGCTCTCGAACCAATGAACCACTTGGTCAGTTCATGTTAGTATTACTGTAGAAATAAAACTTTATTGCCTTTCACAATAATTAACAAAATTGCACAAACACTATTCATTCTATTTAATGGTTTATTTAATGGGTCACTGAACCAGAGCTAAATGAACACGCTTCAGCTTGCTGCTCTTTACCCTATGTCAGATGTTCACATTTCTAGATTAATGCACAGTGCAATGAGTATCCTTCATCACATATCAGCAGCTAATTACAGCTGCTGATATGTGATGCTGCTGAAACCTAAAAAAAAGTAGAATTATTTCACTGCGTAGGTTACGCTGTGTAGCTCTCCGATGTGTGTTTGGGTTGTACCGAGCATCGTTCATCACGATATTGGACTCTTTCGCTCAGTTCCTGATGGAACTAAGAAGCTCCCGGCACATTGGGTGAAATGTCAGAATTCATGGGGAAGTACACCATGCTACACAGCCTAGAAACTAATGAAAAAAGGTCCTTGCACAAGAATGCGATCCGACAACACATCAAACTAAAGCAGAGCTTGCCTAACAAAGTATTGCTGATTGGCTGACACACCTGAACTACAGACATCTTTCCAGCATTTTTAAACATTATTGCTTACTCCAATAATTTAAATGGTAAGGTGAATTACAAACCAGGACACGTATTAATGATTAAAATATACTATTTCTTTGACTCATCATTATTCAGGCAAACTAGCTGCCGAGAACCTGGACAATTGGATTGAGATACAAACGAAATAGCGTTAATGACCTTAAGAAATATTTGATGATGTAACTTTGATTCGTGTACTTGCATACTGCACAATTATGGTCAATTTTTTTTTTTTACAATTTGGTCATACATTCACGTCTTCATGTACATATTAGGTTTATTATGAATATTAGGTTATATGGTGTTGCCTATTAGCTGTGAAGTTTTAAGACCTAGGGTTAAAAATGTGTATGAAAGAGAACACACAACGCAAGGTTGTATCTATTAAGGCATGACATTTCTACGAAGGCAGCATGTGTCTTAAGATCCATCCATGTCATATAATCTAATGCTAGAAACAAGCCCTATTAGCCATTTTCAGCACCATGGTCTTTTGCAGGAAGACTTTCCAGGGACAGGCATCTATGGTGGAAGACATTGTGGAGGCAGATCAATAATGAACGGAAATGGGAGGAGGGAATGAATGACTAAAAGAGTGGAATTAAATCAATCATAATTTATAACTGAAGAATATGGCATTTGAAGGATTACATGAGAGAAGCACTGATGTCCTATAGGAATAATGCAAGTGCACCGCATGACCTTTTTATTATTATTAAAAAATATTGCTCTGCCACGGTTAAGTCTAATCTCGGATTTCCAATAATTTACTGTGAAATTAAAACTGTATTTGAAGTGGACACATTGGTAAATATTAATCCGTGTCCAATTTCACACGTGGCCCTTTATAAAAAAAAATACATTTGACAATGAACACAGGGGCTCTGATATGTTTTCCTATTCAAATGTGTTTCTCAGGTTTGCTTTACCTTGAAAATGAACATTATATTTAATATCGGGGTAGCTTGTTAAAATGAACACTCGCATTCATAAACAAAAAGACTGGTATGCTTACCGTACAGCACCACCGATATTACTGACACAAAATCAACTGGGAGAAAGATGTCTCATCACAATTTTCTCATCTCTATTGGCCCATTTACAACAGCGCCGTGCATACAACGGTATTTTTCCTATGATTCCGTTACCAGTGTACACCCGAAGTCATCTTTGGCCTAGAGAGACCAAAAACGTAGAGGCACATCCTGTATGTACAGTACGTATGTTGAACTTCTTTCGGACCATACATAGCAAACCATGCTAATTGGAGGTGCGGGGGAAGAACAACAAACTGAACACAACAAGCAGTTCTAAAGAAATTAGTGTTCAATCTTGATGATTTCAAAATGCATAGCTCCAGTGGTTTCCTAATATTGGAAGAGGGTTCCAGACGGCCGCAGAAGCGCATCTGAAGGCGCGCGACGCAGTGACCGTCTTTGTTCGATGGCCAACCAAAAGCCGCTGCGAGGATGAGCGGAGTTCGCGTGATGGTTTATGCCCCTTGACGAGATCAGCAAGGTATTGTGGTTCCTTTGTGGCAAGCACTTTGTGTGTATTGAGTGCAACCGGAAGCCAATGCAGCTCGGCGAGAACCAGATGGACATGGTGGGATCTTGCACGCTACAAGCCTCAGTGAGTTTAGGAGGGAGTGCAAGACTCACTATGTTCTCCTGGCTTTTGCTTAAAATATTATTGCATTGTATTTGCATTATATTTTAGTGTATATAATGTTTTTATGCCTCCTTGAGTGGAGGGAATATTACATTTAAAAATATATATATACGGTTTACGGTTGCCCTGTCAGTTGAGGCCGTCTTCCCAGGCAGAGCCGCTATTCGAGCCCCAACGCCTTGCTGCAACCCTACACACCACCAACTGCTTACTGCGCACACCTGGCACGAGCACGACTGTTATTATAGCGAACAAAATACTTCCGAGGGCATATGCACGTTCAAAAGTGCCTGATTTTACTCCCTTCAAAGATGTTGGATGTAACTTGTCAGTGTGCTCAAATGTTTTTTTCTTGTATTTATAAATGCTTTGTTTTTTCTCGACATTGGATTGTCCATAAAACAGCACTGATCTTTCCCCTATACATATTACAAAATGGGGAAATTATGATTTATTTGACCGTAAAGTCTTGTAAAGTCCCAGGCCAATCTTTAAAAGCTTCAGTACTGTCATCGCAGACCATGAATAAATAATGCAGTTGCTCTTAAGACACAACAGCGTAGTGTCTCAGCCACCACATAAAAAACAAATTACATTAAGTGAAAGGCGTTTAAAAGCTTGGTTTTCTTTTTTTCTGCACGATTCTCATCAGTAATCATTCAAACTTATTATGAGATTTCATATCTATTGAAGAGTAAATTACATTTATGCAAACAAAGTCTCTATTAAGTCGTACAAAATAAGTTATTCTTGAGCATTGATATAATGTTGCTTAATGCCTCTGTGTAGATGCATATGAAGCATTCCGTAAATGAAAGATGATTTCATATGCCTTGAAATTTTACATGCGGTAAATTGAAAAGTTATTTCTTTCTCATGAAAATCCATTATTTTTACAAAACCTTGTTACCAAGGCCAATCTACACAGCTTATAGCTTACAATGGCTGCATATCTGAATAAAAGGAAATGAATGCCATGTTTTCACGACCAATGGGAACTCTGCTGGCTCGATTACTCATTTTCCACTGGCACAGCAACATCCCGGTTTACCTGGGAGGTGCGTTCCTGAGTTGGGTGACGACGAATATCGAAACGACGTAAATCAAAGCGATTTGCTGGATAGGTGGAGGTGAAGGCTGAGGGGCGACGGTTAACGAGAAAGGACGGACAATGCTGTCAGCGACATAATTGGGGTTGAGGCGACGAAAAATCAGGTCGCAGTGGTAATAATTAAGCGATGACGTATTTGGGAAAAGACGTGAAAGGGGGAGATGTACATCTGAGCCGAGCCAGCACGGGGCTCTCACGATACGAGTGGTTTTCCACTGCTTATTTACTGTGTGACCATGGAGTGGCAGATGGGTCGTAGCAGGAGCACTGGGCCCAACATTGATCGAGCCTGGGGTAATGTTTTAAAACACACTCGTGCTAAAAATAAAAGGGGTAACAGTTTATACTTATATTGTCCTTTCCATTCTTAACGGAGGAACACACCATGAGGCCCTGAGGTGCAAACAAGCATGACCGTGACTCGAGTGATAAGCAGGTGACATGATACGTCTGTATCCGCGCCATCTCCTACCCCCAAAGCATGTTCGAGGCGACAAAACTGTTTAGCTGTGGAGTTAAGTGGTGGTGTTGTGGTTTGCACAGTATGCTATGTGGTCCCGGTGACCTGCGTTCGAGTGATACCCGAAGCGGTACAGGGGTGGCCTCTTTACCAGGCTGCACTCTCAGTGTGAAGTATGGTAAAAAGTAAAAACATTCAACGAAACGGTGTTGGGGAGACCATTCATCCAGCAGTGAATTCAAAAATGACTGCACACTACGGTTTTCCTTTAGCAAAGCCCGAGCAGCCAATAAAGCATATGAACACAAGGTCAGGAAAAGAGATCCACGGGGTCAAACATACAGGCTGAACATGACAAACAGAGAATATGGACAAGCGAGAGAAATATGACAGATGGACCATGCAAATGCATCAAGACGTGCGCGGGCGAGAGAGAGCGAATGCAGCTGCACAGAACTGCTGAGTGTTTCCTTTAGCATTTGAAGTGATGTGTCTAAAATTGCATAGGGAAATCACTGATAATGGCAATGATGATAATAAAGATAACGGCTTGCAGTGGCTTTAAGCATGCTTCGCGGCCTTTGCATGTGGAGTCATGTATCCAGAGACACTGTGCAAATAGTACGTTGGGGGCAGTTGAAGGATAGGAGGGGATTTTTATTATAAATGTTCTGTCTTTGTATTTCTTTACATTCTCAGAGAGGAGACCGGTAGGCATTAGAGGGCTGGAAAATAGGGAAGGAGAGCAAACAACGGTATGAGAACACCTCGCAGGTAGAAATGAGAAAACCTGGCAGACAACAAACGGTCAGTCGTAGGCAAGTGCCTTGATCCGCACAGGGGCGAGGGGGGGTGTCTGCAGTGGAGAGCTATGGGCAGAGAATTATAGACTCCAGGAGCAGCTGCAGAGAAGGCTTGACCTTCCATTGAGCAAGAGGTTGCCGGGCGGTTTCGACAGGAGGCCATGCTTATGGAGGTAAAGAGCACGTGGGCCATAGTAGGGGAAATGAGGTGGGTGAGGTTGGTTGGGGTGAGTAATGGATTCCCAAGAAGATGGTGAAAGTCAATCTGTCATTTGATCCGCTGCTAGATTAAGAGTCGGCGGAGGGATGTGATTGCCGAGGAGATGTGGTCTCTTTTATGAGTGCCGATGTGAGAAGTGTGTTGGCGTCATTCTGAAGCATCTGGAGTTAGGAGATTAGATATTTTTTTGGGAGGTCACAGAGGAGAGAAGTAAGCGGTCGAGTTGAGCAGTGATGAAGGCATAGACCAGCGGTCCGCGGACCCCTGGTGGTCCACGAGGTTACTGCAGGAGGTTCGCGGAAAAAAAAATAACATCCTCGCCAAGGAAGTGTACAATTTTCAAACAGCCCGTAGAGCATGTGGTGGTTCGCAAAATGTTCAGCGGTTGAAAAGGGGGTCCGCACAATAGAAAAAGTTGACAACCGCTGGCATAGATAAATACCTCAGGAGAAGAGGATGCAATGAAGTCGTGGATGTGGTCAGCGTAGGAGAACGACAGCTTGGGATCAACGACAATTGCTATCTTGATGTTGGAACTTATAGCCCATTTGACGTGGAGGCTTTACCAATAGCTTACTTGTCGGTGAGAACTTCAGTTTTGGGTGCATGGAGCTGAAGAAAGTTTTAACCAATCGAAAGTGAGACCGTGTCAAGTGTGCACAGTGAGACGGTGGTCTGTCAAGTCATTGTCGGATTGGGTGTCAACAGCACGGCAAACATGATCGATGCTAAAGCTGGAGATTACATTTGTTCATGAGAGGAAATAAAACGAGAAGCGTAATGGGCTGATGAAGGAACTTTTGTGGAGGCCACAGAGTAAAGAATTATGATCATGATGATATGCAAACAAAAGCTCTCATACAAAAAAGGATATTGCAGTTGCTACCCAGACTTGATGCTCAATGTGCCGTAAACAAGTAGGGTTTTCGATATTAATTCGCACATCAGAAACAGATTTACAGTAAATGCGCCATTCGTGTGACAGCATGCGGGTGAAGCAATCAGGAAGATGTAAGATTTCTGGATGTGATGCTCCGCTACCTTGGGGATTATGTGATATGTACACAGGACGGCATTAAATGTATTGAAACAACATCATAGCTATTTTAAGAGGCATCAGCTTATTGGTAAATCAATAGTCCAAAAAACATACAGAACCAGCCCCCTCGAGACACATTTTGGGCCTCAGTACATCATCTCTGCTGGATGCCCCCCATTCCTTCCCATCGCCCGTGACCGTTGTCAAAAGGAGACAATTTTTCCTCGGCCTCAATCGTACCCAACAAATTAATGTGTGTGACGCGAACGCCATTGCAATATTTTATCCGGGGCCGAGAGCAGATAAAATATATTGTTTGTAAATAAAATAGGTGGCAGAGAGATTAATCACAAAATGACATGGCCATGTACCCAACATTTAGTATATATCTTATAAATCGTTTAGATTGTCAGTCATTTATTACCAATTCGTCTCCGTTTTCGTGATTGTATGAATACACGTAACATTACATGTAATTACATTCATATTAAGAAAAAATAAATTTTGAAATAGGCAATTCATGTGCTTATTTTAACATGTCAAACTAACAATAGAATTACTTCAAATCAATTTCGATTTAAAGCTTTCGTGACTGCAAGGATTCATCTTCTTTGGTTCTTTCGGTAAAGTCACTTAGAATGAGAATAAAATAATAAATTAATAAAATAAAATAAAATTATCTTAGTGAGAATTTTATTGCGTTATTTTACGTGACTTTACCGAAAGAACCAAAGAAGATACTTCAAATCAAGTTTTAATATATTTTTTGCTTTCACTCCATGCAAAAAAAGGAGATATTAGGATTAGTTCAATTGTATTGTCTTATCTAGCTGGAGTCCAAACAATTCAGTTGCACCCCCTTTTCCTGCCACTCTCGCCGTGCCTGGGCAGACCCATACCGTCTTCAGACACAATGACGCTTATTTATACCATCTTACGGAACCAGATGATGTATGCATGTGCTCACGCACGTGCGAACGTACGCGTACGAGTTTCTGCTTGCGGCGGCAGAAGCGCCGTTCTCTCTCACCCTTGCTGAGGTGGCACTGAGGCGCCAACACTGCCGTGTTCCTGAAGGCCCTCTGTGGCCGCTCTGCCTTGCGATTCCATCACTCTGGGGTCCATGCTGTGAGGTTGAGCCGAGCCACGGCTGGAGTCGACGGCCAGGGCTTTGCTTCCATCTGCTGTTTTGCATGGCGAGGAAATGTGGATGTTTGTGAGCTGTGTTTTTCTTTTAATTGTATGTTCGAAACAGTAAGCATAGCAAAAACAGAACCAGAATTCGCAAAATGCATCTAAAGACGAACCTATTTTAGATATAAGACAGGGAAGAGAAGCAGAGGATTGAGTAGTGAAGAAAGAAAATAACAATAGAAGATGAAAAGGATTGACAGCAGGTACACAACAGTGTACAATTATCATATACTAGCTTGTTTGCCCGTCCTAGGAAGGAAGCTGTAATATTTACGAAAAAAATTAGCAGAGTATAATTGTATCTTGTGTAAATTAAATGGCAGTAAATCTGGCACAAAACGAAGTCATAAAACACTTCACTGCAGTTCACTCTAGCACTGTATTAATGGCAGTGATTCTTGCACAAAGCTATGTCATAAAACACCTCACTTCATGTCACTGTAGCACTGAAAATAACTGACTTTCAATTTATAAAAATTTTATTCTCTTCTGCTTTCGGTACAATATCTGGAATATCACGGAGATATGTCTATTTTATCATAATGTAGAAGCATGAATTCGACTTACCTTTTGTCTCAAGTGCTGAAGAAATAAATAAAGACACCAAATCCACTTTGTTGCTGCGTAGAATTATTTATTAGATTCACTTTCAATAAAGAAACGTCAAACTTAAAGCGAATTTGCGGGAAGAAAAAAAATTCCGCTCGACCTTCTGCGCGAGTGTAAAAATCCACCCGCTCATGAATATTAATGACGGGGGGGGGGGGTGCGGCATGTAGAGTGACGTCACGCACGTTACACACAAACAGACATTTTTGGTTCATTATAGTAGTAATGCATGTAAGCTTGATAGCATTGCGATGTTTGTTTTGCTAAATTATATCTTTAGAATCTTATTCTACTTTTTTGTTTGAGTGGTTCAGGGTTATTAAAAAAAGATATATTCCAATGTTCAATCACAGTCAACTTGAGAAAACAAATATATTAGTGTTTGATTGATCATATCAGGATATCCTGAAGCAGCTTTGTTGACCAAAAAATTTACTTTTGCATTTCCACTCAGAAATAATTGTGTTTTTCTGCTCACCCATGCATTGCTATTAAAGCAGACACTAATATATTACCTCCGGGCAGCGACCATTAATTTACCCACGTGGAGAAGCAAAATCTTAATTTACTTGCCAAGTTTCATATTTATTGAAGTCAAATGTCTCCCTGCTCCAATATGAGTGGGACAATGGGCATCCTTGTTGGTGGCCCTGTGCCAGCGCTTAAAGTTTCACATTCTTATGAAATTCTCCAGTCGGACCACAAAACCACTGCTGTATATTCCCGATAGTAAAGGTGCAGCCCTGCAATATCTTGCTCTAGCCACTGCTGACAGAAGGACATCCACCAGAAGGAGATCGAGCGAGCTCTAGAGAGTATTTTCTCGTACTCTTCACCGCTGGCCAGACGTACTGGAACCGGTGGGAGGACCAATGCTTTAGTGCACCTCACCCGACCTACCGGCTGATTAACTGTGGTGCACCCAGTGATGCCCTTGGGTGGACAGAGGCAGGAGGAGTTCGTGCTGGTGACCTCTGGATTCCAAGCCCGGTGCGTCAACCATTACACCACAGCCACATCGACTTTCCAAAGTGGTACTTATTTTAAGCCGAGAGATTATGAATTTAGTTCATCCCCCCAATGGGGCTTTTAAGTCACAATTTTATTAATACGGAAAGAGCAATCTCACGACTGTATTTAACCACCAAGCCATATTGAGTTGGCCACATGCTTCCACATGCATTTAGCACGATTGACAGTCAAGTACAATGGGTATTTTATTCAGTACCAGTAGCTACCAATGGGCATCATGCACTTCAGTTCACGCAATTTTACTTGCCTTTCTGAAATTACTCCTTTTTTTACACCTGATGAAGATCGCTTGTGTTGCGGTCGAAACGTCGTGATCGATTTATTTTAATATAATGTTATGGTATTTCTGCATACGTGACTTTACCGAAAAAAAACAATGAGTAATTTATGCAGTCACGAAAGCTTTAATTCTTTATTTTCTGAAATTCATTGCACCATTCCAAAGCATATAAATGTAATAAAAATTGTCAGTTACTGTTGATACATGCTACTGCAATTGGTAAATACGGATCGCTTTATTACAAAAAAAATTCTGCCCAATTTCAATACTTTCACATACATACATGCATATGCATTTAGTTTCAACGACATGGGTTTGGATAAAGTTGCTTTGCGTGCTCCCTCTATGTCTGTACTGTTGTCAATGTTTAATTCCAGGACTCACTTAAAAAACTAAGTTCAAATGGGCTCCCTCCTGTCTTTAACTAAAGTAAATAAACTGACTGCACTGTATATACTGGTATATGCCGTGTCGTGTGTGGAGGTTATTTACAGCCGTGGCAATGCATTGCTCATGCCCATTTTATCACCCATCATAGCATAAAGCAGTGACTTAAATATGTGCCCTTTTAAGGCCCTTTTGCTGCGCCTGCTGCTTGCAGAAAGGGTTCAGAACTGCAGCGGTATTGTTGCTTTACCGTGCCTGTTTGAGTTGGCAGGCGGTCACAGGCAGAAAAAGTCGAGTCCCGAATATAAACAGCACATGCACAGCACCCACCTACAATGCTTGTAAAACGCAGTCATGAATGTGTGGGAGCCTTCACACCATCCTGGTTCATATGCAGCTGTCAACCGATGCATATATTGGGCTACTTGTTTAGAATTCGAATCATTCAATTTACTTTTACCGTTTGAACAATCCATACAGCACACATGTTTTTTTTGTTTTATATATAGATATAAAAATGATAAAATGCAATTAATAAATGCTCAGTGAATGACCTGAATTTTAAACCCTGACATTTCTTTGGAGATGGCAACACAATTTGTGATAACTATACTTATTTTCACGTGACAAAAAGCCAGCAATTTACACATTTTATAAATAATGGTGTGAAAATCACATTTATATGTGAATATCTGGAGAAATACTGAAACGTATTGTAGTAAAATTCAGTGATTCTACAAATGTCAACCTTAAAAAGAAGTCAGCTGGAAAACGGTGACTGTGCTCGATGTATAAATTGAGTCTGGTTCATTATCAAATTGCTGGTGCATGCTCGCAAACCTAATCGAATTATTTATTCTGCAGACTAATATGACGAATGAGAAACATTCCATATTCTATGTAAAGATTATCACATTACATTGACAGGTCACCCATGTTATGGGAGTGCAAAGCATACATATTATTTCATTTCTGAGGAGATTCAGAGGAACCTATGTTGTCAATTATTACCTTATGAGCTGGCCGATGAGATGAACACAAGTTAGGTCAATGTGTCAGGTAATTATTTTCCCTTTGTGTGCCCTTTTCCTGTCACCCATTTACTGCATAAAGCGAGGGAAACCTGTATAGACTTGGATTGATTCATTAAATAAAATCTAAGGGTGTGTGAAAAAATTTACCCGATTTGAAATCTCTATATTTCTGCAACCACGAACCGCCCATGAATGAAACTCTTACCACTTGAAAGGGCGGGGCATAGAGAGGGCGGGGCATAGAGAGGGCGGGGCATAGAGTTTCAAGTGATTACCGCTAGATGCCTCTCCCAGCGCACAAACAGCCCCTAGCCTCAGTCATTCGCAAGACGGTGACCCCACCGCAACACAAGGGGCGTTTTGCGTTCTGCAGTTCAGCAAGACTGAATCCGTAAATGCGATACAGCGTGTGTTTCAACAGTGTTTTGACATTGATCCGCCAATGTCAAAGAGCATTCATCGTTGGTACCGACAATTTGAGGAAGCGGGCTGCTGTTTATGTAAGGGGAAGAGCACAGGGCCACCACGCACCTCAGAGGAAAACGTGAGAAGAGAGGCGTTTGGGACTAATTCAACTATCGTCTCAATGTTGTCCGTACAGCAGGTGGAGGGCACGTAGAGCATTTATAAAATGGTTAGTAAAACTTGATAACTCATTAAACCATTTGTAACTTGTTGTGTAGTTGTAACATGTTGCCATCGTGAAATATACTGCTTTGAAATTGGGTCCATCCTTTTTAAACACCCTGTACTACAATACTGTGTATTAATCCAATTATGCATGCACAAAATGGAGCTTGTGAGAATACATCTTTTTTATGCAGATTATATGTAAATACTACATTCAAAGCTCGTGGAAAGAAGGAAACCACAGCGCAAATTTGACAGTTAAAAGAGACTAAAGGATTAAATTCCTGAATTGACTCGTAACCCAAACCATGATAAATCACTTCATCATAAAGTGGAGGTGGGGGGTTGAAAAACAATCTGAATTACAGTATTCTACCAGACAGGCCAAACATAACATTAATTTTTTTCCGTCTAATACATTGACTATTATGTATTATTTATTGTAAACTTTTTTTAACAATGTAATCATGATGTTGATACAGTATTGAGATATTTGTTTTCAATGTTCATTGCGAATTAACACGATTATAGTAATTGAATGTATTTGATAGAAGGGTTTAAAAGTTTTGCTGCGTGTCAAAATCAAGTCATGTGTAACAACATTTTTTAAAAGATAGGTTGGACAAAAATCCGATGCAATACTGTTCTTGAAATCCTCTTTTCATTCCGATCAATTCCGATCGGATCATTGTTGAGCCGATTTCCTGAACCGCCAGATCGGATAAGCTGGGATCGTGCGATCTCCAATTACACGACCCAAGGCGATGGTTGGTGCACCCCAAGTAATTGCTACAGCAGAGTTAGCGCAGTATACTATTTGACCTTACATTTTAACTATAATTCCATTTGTTGTATTCACATCGCTGGAACGATGCACACAGTATTATTTATACGGTGGATAAATAATACAATATATCGTTAAATCAGGGAGCACAATAATTATTATGCGTTGATAAGCAATTATATTGACATTTATCCCACGACAGCGAATTATGAATGTCTTCCATTCACAAAGTTTTGTTTTGAATTTCACCCCACTGAAGGGAGGTGTCCCAAATATTTACTTGACATTGAATCTCCAGATGTGATTACTTTCAAATGTTAATTCACAATTTACAAAAGTGTTCATTATTGGAATGAACAATTAGATAGACTTGTCTCTTTGCCATTGAAAATTCCATATTCTTTGGTTCTATTCGGTAAAGTCACGTAAAAGTATAACACAACAAAAAAATGTTTATACTTTTACGTGACTTTACCGAATAGAACCAAAGAGTATGGACCCTTGCAGTCACGAAAGCTTCAAATCTAGGAATTCCATATTGTTTTGAAGCAAACTTATGGATGGAAGTCTGACCTCTGTTGCAAGTGTTGTGCCAGAAATAACTGTAATCTCGACAACCATGCTTAGCACCCACGCATCAAAGGCACTGTCAAATTTCTGGCAGCATACGCCAACTGTGTATATTTATACTTGTGACTAATGGTTTTACCAATGGTGATTACTTTTTTGGCCTTGAAACTAAAATTATGACTTTATCCATTTCACTTCAACTCCATCCCTTCCCAGAGCAGGACAGAGCCTATGCGTCACGTGATGTTTTCATCACAGAAAATACCACGGGTGCTGCGAACCATATTTGGTCGGTGAGTTGTTAGTCCGAGAACTCCCAAGTTAGGGCATATCATTTAGACTGTTTGGAATTGCGCTTACATTCAAGCTGGTTAAAACATCGTCAAAATGTTAAACCATTCACGTCCTATGAAGTCAATATCAACCAAGGACGTAGTTGGAGAAAAGGGAAGTGCCAATTCTAAATGCAACTAATTACACAACAAATAGCAATGTGAAATATTAGTAAGGATTAGAGGGATGGAATTCGAAATAATTGATTCCTTATTTCTAATATAAGCTGCGATGGCAAATTATTATCACACTGGACTTGCAATACAAGGGTCTTCGGATCATTCTCCCTCAGCAGTTGAAACAATTAGAGCAAGTTTCTTCAATTCCCCTGCCTCTGTCCACCCAGCAGTATAAATAGGCAACACAACACAACAGGGGTCGCATGTGGTGGGGTAAAGTGTGGATAATCGCACCTCTTCCAAGAAATCTGGTCTGTATGAGGAAGAGTAGGCCAAAATATCCTCTGGAGGGGATCTCGACAGCTTCCTCCAGCGGAAGCCCTTCTGCCAGCAGTGGCGTGAGCAGGCGATGAGCAGTTTAACACGTAGGCTTTCACGGCTAATATTGTCCATTTCACACGTAGTCTTTCGTGACCAATGTTATCCATAATATAGGGGGGTTTTTTATGGGTTAGATTGCGTAAATATAAATGTGTCACCAACCCACCACCGCCCGACACAGCCAATTACCAAGGTTTGTAACTTAAACAAAACGTGCTAATTCGTTACTATTTCAGCACATCAGTGTGTCTGGAGAGTAAACCCACAACATTTACAATTCGAGTACGAGGTTTCACTGGCGATGACAACCAGTGTCATCAGGCGATTTGCCGGAATTGTGAAGAAGTCTTCCGAGTAGGGCGACACGTTTTACCTTATTATTGACATTGTTAGTGCTGGTGCATGTTGCTGTGCTGCAATGGTCGCGTACCGGAGATGAGGCAGTCTCTCTGCGGCGATGGGGGAGAGTTAAACTGGGCCGCATTGAGCTCCTGAAGCAGCCGGTCCAGCTCGGAGAGGTTATTGCCGATAGATGAGCTCATGCTTGACACTATCACCTTCACCTCCTGTTTCGCACAACAGCGGCAACATGCTCACAACTTGGCGCACACTTCACGCTTTGAGTTACAGCTCCGGCATGCACACCCCTCCGTACACGCTAAAAATACGCAAAGAATGTTGACAATTAAGTTGTGGATAAATCAAACCCAGGTTTTTGTCCGCATGCTCATGTAAACTTAAGTGTTCATATCAGGTATTGTAATTTTAAAAAAATGTATAGCGTATGAGATGCTTTACATAATGTACCATTTATGTGTGGTCATAAAGTTAATCGAAACTAAAATGTGTTCATCAGTAACACCAACCATGATTAACAAATATAACAGCTTTGCTGAATGGATTACATAGTCTTATCTCCATACATATAAAAGGCAAAGTTGTGAATATGTCTGTTCAAAATGTTGAGCGTACTTCCCGACATGCAACAAACTGCAAATTTGCCATGTGGGTACTTTCCAGACTGTACACGATGCAAAAATTATACAAATACACTTTTGCTTTTGGGGGGTGGGGGGGGCTAAATAATGTATATTTTTTGCACGGCAAGTGAGCTGTCACGTCAAATCTATCACGTGACCCGCGCATGTGGAAGCATAACGCATTGTAGTGTAGTGGTTAGCACGCTGTGTGTGTCTGTGTGTGTGTGGAAGCGTAACGCATTGTAGTGTAGTGGTTAGCGCGCTGTGTATGTGTCTGTGTGTGTGTCTGTCTGTCTAAGAGGTGGGGCCTTACCATCAGCCCCACCAAAACTAAGCACCTGCCTGGGTATTTTGTACCATCGGACACTCCACCCCCACAACTCCCGATTGGTGATGGGGCAGTTGTGGAGAGAGTGGAGAGTTTCCCATACCTGGGCAGTGTGCTTATGACTGGCTCCAGTTTAACAGCAGAGGTCTCACTCCGAATCAGTCGAGCGGCAATATCTTTTCATCGGTTGCGTAATGCTGTGTGGAAGCTACCTGGTCTGTCGCTCCGCACTAAGCTTCAGGTCTTCTCGGCCACGGTCATTCCCTCCCTTCTCTACGCTTGCGAAACGTGGACCCCCCTAATGGAACATCTTCGCCGGTTAGAAACATTTAGGCTGGCCTGCCTACGATCCATCCTGGGTTTAACCAGACTGGATTGTGTGAGGAGCTCACAAATCCTTGAAAGATCTGGGCAAGGTCCCATCGGCGAGCTCCTCCGGCGGGCAAGGCCGCGATGGCTGGGTCATGTAGCCCGCATGCCCAGCCACCGCATGCCGAAACAACTTTTGTTCGGCCGGATTGAGGGGGCTAAGCGGGCGCGGCACGGGCTAGAGAAGAGATGGAGTGATGTGGTACAGGAGGACGTGGAGCTGAGTGGACTTGCCGATGACTGGTACCAGCGGTGTCAAGATCGGCCTCTGTGGAGGAGGCTCGTGAAGGATGCTACTGGGCAGTTGGAGGCAGTCGCCCTCCAACAACAACGGAGGGCGGAGGAGCGACGCTCACAACAACGAGCGGAGCGCCGGGTGGCTAAAGCACAGCAGGTTGGCACAGTAGGGGGCACAGGTGGTGCATCAGCCAGTCATCTCAGGCAGTCGACCCGTGGCACCTGGGTCTGCCCCGTGACCTCCTGCCAGCGGGCGTTCGACACTTCACGTGGCCTCAGGGTGTACATAGCCTGGCACAAGCGTCGTGGTGACGTCACCGCCACTTAGTGGCGAATGGCGGTTGTTGTTGTCTGTCTGTGTCTGTGTGTGTCTGTGTGTGTGTATGTGTCTGTGTGTGTATGTGTCTGTGTGTGTGTCTGTGTGTGTATGTGTCTGTCTATGTGTCTGTGTGTGTATGTGTCTGTGTGTGTCTGTGTGTGTGTGTAAGCGTAACGCATTGTAGTGCGGCGGTTAGCGCGCCGCGCTACGAACCCGGCGGCGCGAGTTCGAGTCCCGCTCACGGCCACCACAGTGACGATTATTTGAACCGGTTCTGGGCCTCCCCTAGATCGACTCAGCCTCAAACGAGTAACTGCTGTGGTGTGTGAACATCGCCACTGGGGAGACAAAGGCGGCCGCCCGTGGTGAATCCAAGTCCCGGGCGAAGCCGGGTAGTAAAGCTAGTGCCACATAAATGATAAAGACGCTGGTCCCACTGACATGGTACATGTGCGAAACATATATTCTTGTCAAATTGGTACGAATTACATTCGCCACGATTTAGTTTCTGGGCACAACATGACTGAAGCTGAAGGGTCCCCTTTTGTGGAAATTGGATACGATAGGGCTGCAAGGCTGGCTGCTAGCCATTGGCTTGGGGGCAATGGCTTAGAAAACAATAGGACAGCTCAATACCTATCAAATGTATCATCTAAGCCATGTCAACAGATGCTGAGAATTCCTCTGTTCTGACAAAAAAAAAAGCCTGTCCGGCATATCAATGACTTCTCTTTCACACTTGAAGCGATGTTTTTTTAAATGTTTTTGTTCACTGATGAGATTTAATATTTAAACATATATTTTTCGGGGGCACACATACCACATCGCGTGGTATCAAGGTTTTTACATTTACACGCCACTTATAATTTACGTGATTTCACAGTAATGTAATGTCTACTCATATATGTGTGCTATAATGTACAATACCAGTATAATCCGAGCGTTCATTTCGAGTTTTAAATCGTGCAGTGAGAGACGAGTATATTGATCAAAAGTTACGTCATTTTCTTCACATACAGAATCGGAATCTTTATTTAAACTCGAAGAATCCGATGAGCTATGAAGCTCTTTACGACAGATGTTAGTTAATGATAGGGTATGTTTATTCAAGTTTGTACACCATTCTAATTATGTGAATGTGTATCACGTGCAAAGAAAAAAGGATTTCGTTATACATTATTTAATTACTTGTAACTTTAACACGTAGGCTTTCGCGACCAATATCATGCATGAGAGGTTTTTGGTTTAGATCGCGTAAATATATAAATGTTGTGTCGTTAAAACCCGCCACAGCCAACTAGTAGGGATAGTAAATGTTGTGGCTTGGCTCTCCAACACACCGGTGTGCTGTACTAGTGACGAATTGGCCACGTTCTGTTTACGTGACAACCCTTAATAGTTGGCTGTGTCGGGTGGTGGCGGGGTTTTAACGACACAACATTTATATATTTACGCGCTCTAACACAAAAACCTCTATTATACCTGCAACTTGTTCATTGACTGAAATCCTAGACTCAGAAGTTTGACTCAGCGATTGTGATTACGTACTGTTTTCACCAGCGGGCGAAGTGGTATGAAATAAATGTGTACGCCAACCTACAAATCCCAAAACAAAGGTCTAAAAACTCCGCTTATCCGCCTTAGCGCCTTGACTACGGCACTGATCGTAACTTCTAAAGTGAAACGGCGAACCGTATTTGCCCAAGCACTGTACTATTTATGAACACAATTTTATAATAATAATAATAAACAATATTACAAGCGAAATGTAAACTTATAAAAATAGAGGCAGCGGACAACAAATATGAGTTTCATTAAGGGGCCGCCCATAAATGACGTCACGCGATTTTTGCCCCCCTCCCCCCTTCGTCACACGGCGTCACAAAAAGTCAGACTCCCCCCCCCCTCAAATATGACGTCACAAAGCTCTGCCCCCCCCCCCCCAAAAAAAACACACACGCTTCAAATCGCTTTAAACTATTGTCATTGTAGTGTGTATTTAATGTGGCGCTGCACTCTGATGTTGTACGAGAAAACATTTATCAAAAAGTCTATTTAATTAAGCAGAACGTGTTGTCTATATTTAAAGTTGCGCATTTTGATGTGACGTCACATTTCTCAAACTCCCCCCCCCACCCCCCCATCGTCACACATCGTCACAAATGTCTGACCCCACCTCTCCCCCCTAGGTGCGTGACGTCATTTATGGACGGCCCCTAAGATCAAGACGTCAAAATGGCCAAAGTCGTAGCGGCCACGAGACCTCGCCCTCGGCTGTCTACCCCCTGGCAGAGCCCACAGCTGTTGCACCGTCGATACGCGACCTTTCAATATCTCTAACCCAACGGGCATCACCATCTGGCCTTAAGAATTCCCATTGCTCGCCTGCCTCGCGGAGACCACTCCCAATGCCCTTCCAATAACAAAGGCGTAGCAAAAGCAGCATTTCTAACAAATCGCACGTACGTTTTTCCACTGCACTATAAATATTTCACAACGGTCACTGGACGAGGCGAAAACAAAGTTTATTCTAGCTCCGGGTAACTGTTTATAAAAAAAAGGCCCGCATAATAGCTACGCGAAGGGTACACGAGTGGTTTTACCCCACCGCGCGGTGAAACTCTTCTTTATGCCCTCTCTTGTCATGCGCTACTCGTATTGCTCTCTGACGCGTCTTCAGAAGGTGCCAACACGTGGGACGGCACTTCACATTACACGCCGAACGACCCACGTTACAACCCGAAGTAACGCCAGAGAGCCGTGCGGCGCATCGGTGAAAACCCACGCATCAGCCATACTCTTAATGTCCACACATACGACCGATCCGTGGAAACCCGTTTTCCTGCTGATGGGTTATTCCTGTTATCTGCATTTACACCCATATATATGACTCACCTGGAAATGTTCTCCGGCAAATGCTGAAACTCATCCAATTTATCCACATTTTTACTTGCAGAAAACACCCATATGTGTTGACAGTCTCCCTATTATTAAGACCCAGGTGGTTGAGTGTTTTTCGCTTCGAGTAGAGTTATTACTGTGGTGTAATAACCATTGAAAAATTAGCGGATGTAAAATATACCCTGTCATTCGAATTGAGTAGGCCATTGTATGCTGGCGCTGAGTTACATTTTTGCCAAATTAGAAAATTACCTGCAAATCACTTAATTGGGATAGCAATCGACTGCCGAGACTAATGCCCTATTTGCACATCCAGGTACTGAGTCACCTTGTGCCCACAGGGTTAGCCCTTTCAAACGTTTGAGATGAGACATAAAGCTATTTGGGACGTCTCTGCATAAAGGGCACAATATAAATAGACATAATGATCAT